AGGGGTGGCTGGTTTTCTCATTGTCTTTGCTGGTGCAGACACGCTGCAAGTGACAATGGATGTTCTGAAGAGAACAACGGGAGTTCAGACAGTTGTCATGCGTCTTGGTGGGGCTGTGGCTCTCACAGGGGACACCAGGATTAATAAGCAATAACACAGTCGACTGGGGATTATTACAGTTGGGGTCAGGGGAGCCTGAGGGCACATAAAGGGGCCTGGTGATGGGCAGGCTGTGACCCAAAGCAGGGGAGACATGGACAGGCTGTGTTAACTTCCCGGGGCTGCCGTGATAAATGAGCACAAGCTGGGGGCTTGGAACAGAAACGGATTCTCCCACAGTGCTGGGAGCTAAGTCCAAAGTGAAGGTGCCAGCAGGGCCATGCCCTCTCTCAGGGCTCCTGGGCTCTCTCCTGGCTTCTGCGGGCCGGTGGCATTCTTTGATCCGCAGCTCCAGCACCGGGATCTCCATCTCCGCGGCCCCGTGACCTTCTTCCTGTGTGTGCGTTTCTCTCTGTCTTCTTTTCTCATAATAAAAGATCACCAGTCATCTTGCGTTCAGGGTCCACCCTTGTCCAGTGGGACCTCATCATCGCGAATTACATCTGCAAAGACCCTATTTCCAAATAAGGTCACAGCCTTATTTGGAACCTGGGACGAAGACTTCAACTTAGCCATCTGGGAGAAATGGTACAGCCCACGACGCGGGCTGGCTCGTGACAATCATTGGTGTTTGGGACCTGAGGTGGTGGCCACAGTTGGAAATAGACAAGCGTGGGGCGGCCCAGTGGGGGTTCCTGGAGTGGGGGTGCCTGGTGGCTGGTTTGCTTAAGGGGGTGGGACCTTGCAGGAGGAGGAGAAAGGAGAGAAGAAGAGGGCGATATTGGGTTGAAAGAGGAGAGTCAGCCCAAACGGAGGTGCAGACCGGGCACCAGCCCCCCAGCCTGGAAGGGTCAACCCCGATTCAGGCAAAGAGTATCTGGGAACAAAGAGGGAAGGCCCCGGGGGGGCAGCTGCATCTGCGTAGTGGTTATTTTTCCTGCACTGTCCCACCCGGTAGCCACTGGTCACATGCAGCTATTGAGCTCTTGACATGTGGCCGGTCCAAATCGAGATGTGCTGTGGGTGTAAAACACACATCGGATTTTTCGCTTTGTTTTGAGGAAGATTAGCCCTGAGCTAACATCTGCTGCCAATCCTTCTCTTTTTTTTGCTGAGGAAGACTGGCCCTGAGCTAACATCCATGCCCATCTTCCTCTACTTTATATGTGGGACGCCTGCCACAGCATGGCGTGCCAAGTGGTGCTATTCTGCACCCGGGATCCGAACCGGCAAACCCTAGGCTGCCGAAGCAGAACATGCACATTTAACCACTGCACCACTGGGCCGGTCCCTCACATTATATTTCTATCAGACAGTCCTGCTCTAGATTTTTTTGGTGTGGTGGAAATTGTGCATAAAAATAATTTTATCTTTAAAAAAAATAATAATAATTTTATCTTTATAAAATATTTTTTAAATTTAGAACAAATATTTTATTTTCAGTTCATGATTGTTAACTAGACTTCTTGTGGGGATCATTTCACAATATATACAGATATTGAATCATTACGTTGTACCCCTGAAGCTAATATAGTGTTATATGTCAATTATACCTCAAAAAGATGAACTATTTTTAAAATTAAAAATGTAAAAAAAAAACCCCACAAATAAAGTGAATGTTTAGCATCATTTGAAAAGGAAAACAAATTTTTTTAAGATTTTTTAAAATTTTCCCTTTTTCTCCCCAAAGCCCCCTAGTACATAGTTGTGTATTTTCAGTTGTGGGTCCTTCTAGTTGTGGCATGTGGGACGCCGCCTCAGCATGGCTTGATGAGCAGTGCCATGTCCGTGCCTAGAATCCAAACCAGCGAAACCCTGGGCTGCCGAAGCAGAGCGAGGGAACTTAACCACTCGGCCACAGGGCCGACCCCCGAAAAAGAAAAAAATTTTATAGCTAGGTTCTTCCCACTGTCATGTGCATTGGAGGGGTCACAGGTGGCAACCAGGAGGCCAGGAACGTGGTGATGGCGGCCAGACCCTGGGAGGGCAGAGGTGGAAATAGGAATGACAAAATAACAGTAAGAATTCCCTCTAAAAGTGGCCGTCGCTACGTGCCGGGCAGTGTTCTAAGCATTTTGCATCTTCATTTCATCCTTCTCCCAAACCCTAGGGAGGAGGCACTATTACAAGTCCATTTGGCAGTTGGGTAAACTGAGGCATACAGAGGCAAGATCCACTGTCCAACACACCTGGCTGCAGCGTCTGCCCAGGTGGCCATGACGACTGGGCTGCTTTGGGAGGATGAGGACAAGTGGGGACAGATTAGGAAGTGGAGGATGGACCGACCCTCATAAGATGGAGACCGGTGGGGGACCAAAAGCATGGGTGGGGGGAAGCCAGTGGGGCGAAATGCAAGATCAATTCGGGATGCACCGAACCTGGGGAGCCTGGGGGACATCCGGGGGGAGCGCAGGTGGTGGCTGGACCCTGGGCTGGGGATGGAGACCCAGGCGGGGAGCTGATGTTGTGGCTGTCCTCGTGGGGGAGGGGAGGGAAGGGCAGGGAATCCAGGACCACATCATGAAACAGCCTCCCTGAGGGAGGAGCCAGCTGTGGCCATGAGGGCGGGTCCGCCACCAGATCAAACAGGAGGGGGTCCTCTCTGGCCCCCACAGCACCTCTGTCCCCTGTGAGGCAACACGGCCCCCTTCCATTCTACAAGTCTTTATTGCACCTACTGTGTTGGGAGCATCGGCTGTGTGTCAGGCCACATGCTGAGTCTTAAGGACCCAGCAGTGATGCGGATGGACAGGGACCCCGGCCCTCGTGATCTGGTGGGGACAGAGGTAATAAACACAGACACTATATACGTATAATCAGCACTATTGTCTGAATGTCGCGTGTCCCCAGCAATTCATATGTTGAAACCCTGCCTGACAATGCGGTGGTATGAGGAGGCCATGAGGGTTAGATGACATCATAAGGGTGGAGCCCCCCCCAAGGGATTAATGCCCCCAGAAAGACAGGAAGACACAGGAGATCTCTCTCTCCCTCCCTCTCTCTCTCTCTCTCTGTGCAGACACCAAGGAGACGCGGTGAGAGGACAGAACCAAGAAGAGAGCCCTCACCAAGACTGCAGCCATCCTGGCACCCTGATGTCAGACTCCACTCCCCCACCTCCCGCCAGAACTGTGAGAAAGAGATGTCTTCTTGAAGCCACCTCGTCTGTGGTATTGGTTATTGAGGCCCCAGCTGACTCAGACAATCAGGTGGGGGTAACTGCTCTGGAAAAAACATATAGCATCGAAGGATGGGGTGGCTGGGGGGGTGGAATTTTGAAGGCGTCACGTTGGGGAGGGTGACATTTGAAGCAAGTCCTGAAGGAGGCGGAGGGAGACCCATGCAGATATCTCCCGGAAGAAAGGTCTAGACAGAGGGAACAGCAAGTGCAAAGATCCTGAGGTGGGATGGTGCCTGCTGAGTTTGAGAAAGGAGGGCGGTGTGCCTGAAGGGAAGTGAGTGACGGGAGAGCCGAGGGGAGAAAGTCGTGGTCCTTTCGTGTGTTCTTCACATCTCCCACCCTCATCCAAATCCTCACCCCACCTCCTTGAGCCGGCTGCGGACAGAGCCCTTGCGCTGGCCACTAGAGGCCACCCTCCCTGTGGTTCACAGGGTCGCTGCACCCTCCTCCCGTCTTTGGGTGGTGACTGACTTCCGCGGAGCCCTAACTGTGCCGCAGATGCCACGCTAAGCGCTTCACACGGCTGAGCTCCCCTCGTCCTCCTAACATTCCGGAGTGAGACGCATCGAAGTGTCTCAACAGCTTTACTGAAGTGTAATTGACATGCAGTAACCACACACGTTTAAAGCGTACGATCCGGCAGTTTTCACGTCCTGGGAACCATCGCCACGATCAGGGTCCTAAACCGATACCCCACGCCCAGCATGCCCTCGCCCTTTTTAGCTCCGTCGCGCCCCCCTCTCCCCGCCCCACCCCCGGGCAGCCACCGATCCGCTTTCCCTTACTAGAGATGAGGTTGCATTTTCTAGAGCGTTATGCAAATATAACGAGAGAGTACATCCTTTTCTTTCTTGTCTGGCCCCTTTCCCTCAGCAAAATTATCGGAAAGATTCGTCTATGTTGTGCTGTGGATGGCGCCCCCTTTGACTCACGAGGAAACTGAGGCTCACAGAGGTGTGGTTTGGCAGGAGGGAGTAGAGGTGGGGAGAGGGTGTCAAACACGTTTGGCCCCAGGCGGACGCGGGTTCTGGGCTTGCAGCCAGCACAGGGGCACCGGCGGGGGCGGGGCTGGGGCCCAGGGGGGCCAAGCTGGGGCCGGGACTGGGGGCGGGGCCGAGCTGGGCCTGGGGGCGGGGCCGGGGCGAGCTGGGGCCAAGCTGGGGCCCGGACCGGGGCCAAACTGGGGCCTGGACTGGGGACGCATCCAAGCTGGGGCCAGGGGCGGGAGGCGGGGCCAAGGCGGGGAAGGGGGGGGGGGGGGCGGGGGGGGGGTCGGGGCCAAGCTGGGTTGGGGGAGGGGCAGGGGACCCACGCTGGGGCTGGTGGGAGGGTCCCATCTGGGGGCGGGGCCGGGGCGGAGCCCGGGGGTGGGCAAAGCTGAGCTCGTAGGGGGACGATGCGGGGGCGGGGCCGGGACCCGAGCTGGGGCAGTGGTGCGGCCGGCCCGGGGGGGGGGGGGGCGGGCCGAGCTCGGGCTGGTGGGCGGGGCCTGTCCGGGGGCGGGGCCGAGAGGGAGCCAAGCTGGGGCTGTGGGCGGGGCCGGTGTGGAGGCGGGGCCGGGGGCGGTCGAGCTGGGGCTGTGGGCGGGGCAGGCCCGGGGGCGGGGCTCCCGGCCTGGGGCCCCGGATAAGGGCGTGCGGGGCTGGGCGCGCCTGGCCGCTGCGATAAGGCGGCAGGCGTGGGGCGGGCGCCGGGGGGAGGCGCCGCGTCTGCAGGCCCCGTGCGGCCCCCGGGGCCCGGGCCGGGGAGCCAGGCTGGGGGCCGGGCCGGGGCGGGGCGTGCGGCCGAGTCACGCCCGCCTCCCTCCCGGGCCCAGGGCCGCTAAAATGGCGGCGGCGGCGGTGACAGCGTCCCGCGCGGGGCCCGGGGGCCTGGCCTTCGCGTCGGGCGTCCACTAGCGCCCGCTCCGGCCCCGACCCGGCCCCGGCGCCCATGAACTCCGTGTCGCCGGCCGCCGCGCAGTACCGCAGCGGGAGCCCGGAGGACGCGCGCCGCCCCGAGGGCCGCAGGCCGCGCGGTCCCCGAGCCCCGGGCCCCAACGGCCTGGGCGCCCCTGGAGCCGGCGCGCCCGCTGCTGGCCCGCCCGGGGCCGCGGCCGGGGAGCCGGACGAAGTGGACAAGTTTAAGGCGAAGTTCCTGACCGCCTGGAACAACGTCAAGTACGGTGAGGAGGGGCGGGCCCGGGGGTCCGAGGGGATCGGGCCGGGGGCTCGGCCGGGCCGGGGGCGGGAGTCCGGGAGCACCTGCCCCTGCCGGGCGTTCCACTGTCTGTCCTGTGAGTCACCTGCGGGTCCCCACCCTGCCCTGCCCAGGGCGGCCCAGGGGCAGGTCCAACGGGGAAGGTGTTTGCAGGTCCTGTCCTTCCCGGTGTGACCTTGGGCAAGTTTTTTTGCTTCCCCGTGCCTCCATTTTTCCCCTGTTAAATGGGTCCAATCATCAGATCTGCCTTAATTCCTGCAGAATTAGCGGCAGACACTCGTGTGGCTGTTAATAGGGGCCCCACCTCCATCTAAGAGGATTGTGACTCGGAATCCCCAGTGCCACCCTGAGATAGGAACTAGGAGGTCCCCGTTGCACAGATGGGGTAATGGAAGCCTCTTGTAACTGCTGCGTGTCTGCAAAGCACGTGCTTCATCTCGCGGGGGCGCTGCCCCGTGTCTCCCCAGGTTGGGCAGTCAAAAGCCGCACCAGCTTTAGCAAGATCTCCAGCGTCCACCTCTGCGGCCGCCGCTACCGCTTCGAGAGCGAGGGTGAGCTGGTGGCCCCAGGCCAGGGTTGGGAAAGGCCCCCAGGGGTGTTCCTGGTGGCAGCTGACAAGCCCGCTCTTGTAGGTGACATCCAGCGTTTCCAGCGGGACTTCGCCTCCCGCCTGTGGCTCACCTACCGTCGGGACTTCCCGCCCCTGGCGGGGGGCTGCCTGACCTCCGACTGTGGCTGGGGATGCATGTTACGCAGCGGGCAGATGATGCTGGCGCAGGGCCTGCTGCTGCATTACCTGCCCAGAGGTGAGCCGAGGTGAGGGGAGGGCACGCTGGGAGTACAGTGCCAACCACATGGCCCAGCAGGGCCAAAACTGTTTGTAAACCAAGAGTTTAAAGTCGTGTTAGGATTGTGGGTAAAGTAACTTTGGGGGTGTGGGGCGCTAGAGTGGTTTATAAAGTAAGATTCAAAAACGTGAAAATTGTCCAACACACAGTACGTGGAGCATAAGCATTGTGTGCAGAGCATCTGGAAATGGGAACTGTGGCCCCCGCCACCCCCCACAGCGGCATGGTCTGACCGTGTACTCCATCCCCCCCCAGACTGGACATGGGCCGAGGGCGCGGGCCTGGGCCCCCCTGAGCCGGTGGGGTTGTCTTCTCCCAACCGGTACCGTGGGCCTGCCCGTTGGATGCCCCCACACTGGGCCCAGGGCGCCCCCGAGCTGGAGCAGGAACGCCGCCACCGGCAGATTGTGTCCTGGTTCGCCGACCACCCCCGGGCCCCCTTCGGCCTCCACCAGCTGGTGGAGCTCGGGCAGAGCTCAGGCAAGAAGGCGGGCGACTGGTATGGGCCGTCCCTGGTGGCGCATATACTCAGGTGAGGGCCGCGACAGGGGCCACGGGAGCCGCTGTGTGCCCCCAGGAACTCAGGCCTGCCCTCTCGCCCCCAGGAAAGCAGTGGAGAGCTGCGCAGAGGTCACCCGCCTGGTGGTGTACGTTTCTCAGGACTGCACAGGTGAGGGGACCAGGGTCTCAGGGTCCTCACCCTGAGCTGCTCACTACTTCTGCTGCTTCTTAGGAGCCCCCTTCCTCTGGGACAGAGGGACCCTTGGAAAGGATCCCAGGCCCACACAAGGGGAGGTGCTCAGGGTCCCTCCACTCCCTTGGGAGCCGGGAGGAGAAACTTGAGGAGCGTCTCCCCGCGTGAGAGAATGAAGGACGTCGGATTTCCTTCTCTCAGGCCCCGTGCACTCTTACTCTGCAAACAGTTCTAACGTGCACAAAAGTCTGAGCTCCTCTGCCTCGTAGGGTCGTCATGAGGATTCAGTAAGTCAGTAATTCAAGTGAAATCCTTAGCACTTGTCACATAGTAAGCGTGACACTAGCTATTAGCTATTATTGTTATTATTCCTTGCTATCCTCCGAGTCAGTTTCGAAAAGGTCTTGATTATTAGGAGCCTTCATGGGTTGGAATCAGGGAATCTACAAAATCTGTACGTTTTTATGTGAAACGGCAGCAGTTGGGGGCAAGTTGAATTTTCACAGCCAGTGTGGTAGTTGCTTAGGGGGGCTCTGACACCAGTACTAGGGGGCTTCTGAATGACAGGAGTTTATTTCTCATCATTCTGGAGGCCGGGAGGCCCCAGATCAAGGCCCTGGCAGCTTCAGTATCTGGCGGGGCTGCTTCCTGGATCGTTTTGCTGTGTCCTCACAGGGCGGAAGGGGGGAGGGGGCTCTCTGGGGTCTGTTAACAGGGCGCTAATCCCATTCTGGAGGGCCCCACCCTCATGACCTCATCACCTCCCAAAGGCCCCACCTCCCCACCCATCCCCTTGGGGGTTAGGTTTCAACACATGAATGTGGGGACACAAACATTCAGATAGAGCAGCTGTGTCTCCAGAACCGGTTGAAGCTGCTTCTCTGGGAGCAGGGAAGGGGTTTACATGGTGAGGAGGCGGTGGCGAACTGAGGAGAAGGCACACACAGGGACGTTCTCGCGAGGGGCAGCCGCTTGGCGCTCCCATTTCCTTCTTGGCAAACCAAGGCGCCAGGTCGGTGAGGACCAGTCAGGCCTGGTCCTCGGGAGGCACTTCCTGTCTTCCCGGCTTTATGCTTTGTCCAAATTGCGGGGCCTCAGTTGCCCTTTCTGTAAAATGGGCGTGTCCACACCTGCCCGAGGCCCTGGGGTTGTCTGAGGACATTTGGGGGCACTGGAAAGACATCCTTCTCCACTGATGACGGTTGGGCCCCTGGGCATGGAGGGCCACCCTCTGAGGCTTGAAGGACGGGCAGAAGGTGACCCGCAGCCCTGTCCTTCCAGTGTACAAGGCGGATGTGGCACGCCTGGTGGCCAGGCCAGACCCCACAGCCGAGTGGAAGTCTGTGGTCATCCTGGTGCCCGTGCGGCTGGGTGGTGAGACGCTGAACCCCGTGTACGTGCCCTGCGTGAAGGTAGGCTCAGCCACATTCCACTGTGCCTCCCCTGGGAGGCTTCCAGATGTTTCCAGCTTGGGCTGCCTTTTCCATCCCTTCATCTGTGTGTTCAGTAGCACTTTACGCTGGGATTCAGAGAGGAACAGAAGAGGCAAAAATTCATGCCTCTGGGAGTGGACATTCTGATGGGGGAATGACAGGCAGTGGAGCTGGGAGCAAAGTGACAGCTGGGACAGTTTGGACTCTAAAGGAATCAAAACTAACAACGAAGGGCAGGTGGGGGTGGCTGCACAGCCTAGGAAAGTCCCTCTCCAGCCAGGGGCAAGTGAGGAGCCAGAGGCGTGCTGGAAAGACCCTGGTGTGTTGACTCTCAGAGTAAAGGCCAAAGTTCTCCCCACAGCACACAGGGTCCCACACCATGTCCCCGTCCCTTCCTTGACCTCATCTGCCCCCACTCTCCTCACTTCGCTCTGCTCCAGCCGCATGGGCCTCTTCACTGTTCTCAGAACACACCTGCCTCAAGGCCTTTGCACCTGCTGTTCCTGCCACTTGGAGTACTCTTTCCCAAGATGCCCTGCAACATCCCCTCTCACTGAGGCCTTTCCTGACCTCCCTATTTAAAACTGCAAAGCCCTGCTCTTTTATTCTTCTCCCAGTGTCATCACCTTCTGACACATGACAAAGCTCACTCATCTAGTGTCTCCCACACTAGAATCTCAGCTCTGTGAGGAACTATAGTTTTGTGTGTCTTGGTCACTGCTGCCCCCCAGGGCAGTGGGCCTTTGCTAAGCGTTTTGTTGAGTGACTGCCTGATAGTACTCGTCCTCTTCACCCACTGTCCTCCCTGCAGGAGCTCCTGCGTTCCGAGCTGTGCCTGGGCATCATGGGGGGCAAGCCTCGGCACTCGCTGTACTTCATCGGCTACCAGGGTAGGCCCGCCCGTCCTGCTCCATCCCACCCCGCCCTCCCCTTCCACACCCCTGCTCACGCCTCCTCCCCTGCAGATGACTTCCTGCTCTACCTGGACCCCCACTACTGCCAGCCGACTGTGGATGTCAGCCGGGCTGACTTCCCCTTAGAGGTGAGCTGGGATCCTGTGGGGGGGGCGGGGGGGTGGTGCCGGGACGTGTGCAGGGAGCCAGGCCCCCTGATTCTCTGTTTGCCTGCCCCAGTCCTTCCACTGCACTTCCCCACGCAAGATGGCCTTTACCAAGATGGACCCAAGCTGCACTGTGGGCTTCTACGCTGGGGACAGGAAGGAGTTTGAGACACTTTGCTCGGAGCTGACCAGGGTGAGCAAGACGGGGGCGTGGGGGGCAAGAGGAAGAGGCCTCGAGGCCAGCAGACCTGGGGAGCTGCCTCCAGGCGGCGCTGTCAAGATGACTGCCCCGCCCACAAGCTACAAAAGCCCAGCTGTAACTGATCAGATCAAAAAAGGGGCATAAAATGAAAAGTTACAGGCGTCACTGCCTTAGGGGACAGCTGCATCCATTGGCTCAAGTGGCTGTCCCCTCCCTGTCTCTGTTGTCCCCTCAGGGCTTCACCCTTATGGTGGCCACCAGCCTCTCTGGGCACCCGCCTCCCAGCGCAGTGGAAAGGGAGTCCCACTTTCCCAGCAGATGCAGCAAAAACCCCAGGGTTGCCTTTCATTGGCTGCGCTGGGTCACGTGCTCTTCACTGAGCCAATCCCTGTCCGTCCGGGGATGGATGGAGGATGCTGATTGGCTGGTCTGAGTCAGGGAAGCACCTGATAGAGCTGCTTGCTACAATGGTTAACGCGGCCGTGGTGGGGGCTGAGTGCTCTCCCTCCTCCCCAGGTGCTCAGCTCCTCCTCGGCCACGGAGCGGTACCCCATGTTCACGCTGGCCGAGGGCCACGCTCAGGACCACAGCCTGGACGACCTCTGCTCCCAGCTCTCGCAGCCCACACTGCGGCTCCCTCGCACCGGGCGGCTCCTCAAGGCCAAACGCCCCAGCTCCGAGGACTTTGTGTTTTTATAGAGGGAGGGATGGGGAGAAGATGCGACACTATTTATTTTTCTATTTATGTCACGCTGGGGGTGGGATCCTGCACTCTGGCTGGGATGACTGCCCCTTCTCGACGCTGCCTGGACCAGCGCAGCCAGCCCAGTCCAGGAAACCTCCGAGCGGGGCCACCCAGCCAGAGCCAGCCCGCGTCTGCCCGCCTCCCGCCAGCTGGGCCCTCCGCGCGGCGGGGAGGGAGGGCCCCGGCACCCACTCAGGGCCTGACTCAGTACTGTAGTTTGCACTGGACGCCCGCGCCCCTCCCTGGTCCCCAAGCCCCCTGCCCTAAGGGCTGGTGGCGGTGGGAGGGGGGAACTGTGGCTGCTGGGGGCTAATAAAGCCGTTGGACTTGACCTTGGCTGCGGCTGGACCCAGCATTTGAGGGCTGGGGCCAAGGCAGACCCCGGGGAAGCTGCCACATCTGTAAGATGGGGATGCCCCCTCACCCACAGGTAGACAAGAGGGTCCACAGAGTGGACAGAGTGGGGTGCATTTGGGGTCTTGATGAGCGGGAGAAACCCCGGGGCCCCCACTTGCTCCGTGGAGGTCAGGGGCCACTCTTGGGCCCCTTCTGCTTCCTGCGCTGCCGGCCCAGCTGGCGGAAGTGCAGCCGTTTGGGGTTGAGGCCGAAAGCTTGTAGTCTCTGGCGGCTGAACTCGTGGCCCCCGAGGGTCACAGTGGGGCCCAGGAGCCGGGCCTTCTTGCCCCTCTTCCGCCTTGGGGGGGCTGGCTTCTCCGGGCTGGATCCAGGGGCCGCCTCTTCCTGGGCTGGGGGGCTCCCAGGCCGTGGCTGCTTCCCACAGGCCCCATCGGGGGCTGGCAGCTGCCCCTGCGGGCCGGCCTTGTCTCTCGGTGGCTTCCCTGTGGCTTCCGTGGGCATCTCCGTCCTGGGGGAGGAAAGTCAGCGCTCAACCCAGGCCCAGCATGATTACCACTTCCTGGGCTCACGTCCCATTTTTCAGCTAGGAAAGGAGAGGCTCAGAGGGGCAGCCAAGAGGGGCCTGCCTGGGGCTCAAAACCTGGGTTTTCTTTTTTCTTTTCTTTTTTTTTTTTTGAGGAAGATTAGCGCTAACATTTGTTGCCAATCCTCCTCTTTTTTTTTTTGCTGAGGAAGACTGGCCCTGAGCTAACATCCACACCCATCTTCCTCTACTTTATGTGTGGGACGCCTACCACAGCATGGCTTGCCAAGCGGTGCCGTGTCTGCACCCAGGATCTGAACCTGCAAACCCTGGGCCACCAAGAAGCAGAACGTGCGCACTTAACTGCTACGCCACCGGGCCAGCCCCCAGAGTTTTCTACTGAAACCTGAGGCTGGACGGTATTGCCAGTAATTCCCGTATCTGTGCCCAGGCCTACACTAAGCTATTCATGTAAATTAACTCATTTCACCTTTCAATCAAGCCTGTGAGCTTCCACCACCCCCGCCTTATAGATCAGGAAATAACAACATGATAACGATAGCTAATACCTATATGGCATATACTCTGTTTTAAGCACTTTCCATGAATTAATTCACTTAATCCTCAAAAAACCACCAAGAAACAAGCCATCTTTATCCCCATTTTATAAATGAGGAAACAGGCCCAGAGAGGGGAAGTGACTTGCCCAAGGTCACACAGCTATAGCCCAGCCAGGATTTGAAGCCAGCTGTCAGAGAAGGGAAGCCCCAGTCCCAAGGTCATGCAAGGAATGGCCGGCAGAGCAAGACTCAACCCTGAGCCTGGCAGCTCCCGGCCGTCCTGCCCCAGCCAGCGACACTCACTCCTCTGGGCAGAGCGACTTGAATATCTGCCTCTTCTTCCAGGCGTTCTGGGCCTTCTGGCTGTACGCCCTCTTGTCCTGCAGCTCCTCCTGCTCCGACCTGCGGGCGCCCGGCAGACACGCCCATCACTGGGGGCTCCAGGGGTGCCCAAGCTCGCCCGGCCGCCCCTCCTCCTGGGGCGCCTGGCCCCACCCCCCGTCACCTGTACATGCAGGTCTTCTTCAGGGAGCACCACCGGTTCAGCTCCTTGTCATCAGCTGCGAGGATCTGAGGGGAACGGAGTTGGGGGGGTCCTCATTCCTGAGCCCCGGGGGACCCTGACTCTAAGCCCTAGTCCCCTCCTTGGGCAAATTGAGGCGATGCTAGGACCACTCAGCAGGACGTCACGATGGTAGGGAAGAAGTGATTTCCGCGGAGCCCGCTGGATGATTTTTGCAGGGGGCATCAGATGGGGAAACTGAGGCTCCGAGAGTGGATCCTTGCCCCAAGCCGGCCAGGAAGCGGCTGATTTCATTCCAGTTTGGGCCCGGGAGCCCCAATCCGTGCACCATGGCCCCAGAAGCCTCAGGACAGGGCAGGGGTCTCTCTGCCAGGGACGGGGTTTGCCAATCCCAGGTGAGGCCCAGGCTCCAGGCCTCAGTTTCCCCACTTAAGAGGTGGGCATCCCCTCAGAACCTACTGGAACGTCGTCGGGAAGATGTGGTATAAACTCTATAAATATTGCCTGTTCTTCCTGACCGTGAGGAGTCAGGCACCCCCACAGCCATGAGGCGGGGGCCGTTATTAGGCTCATTTTACAGATGGGGAAACTGAGGCATGGAGCCTTAAGTCACATGGCCAAGGCCACACAGCTGGTGAGCAGCCAGGCCAGGATGTGAACCTGGGCCACCTGGTTCCAGAGCCCCCAGGTCGTCACAGCCCCTGGCTGCAGACAGACAGCCAGGACCAGAACGACAAGCAAGATGATGGGGACAAGCTCTGGGCCCCGCCCCATGGGAGTCCTCCTGCCTCCTCGGCGCCCCCAGGGCCCCACCTCCTCGGTGCTCAGCCCGAAGTCGCAGGGCACCACAGCGCGGTACTTGAAGCGACAGGGCAGGTCATCGATGATGTCCTCGTAGTCCAGCCGGTAGTACTCGTCCAGGTACTCCTCGAACGTCTTGTCCCCTGCGGGGGACACAGCCAGGCTGCCGGGCGGTGTCAGGCCCGCGGGCCCCGCTCCCCGCCACCCACCACCCACCTGGGGCCTCACCCGGCTCGAACACCGGCTTCTCCTGGCCCACGGCGGCGGCGAAGGGCGACTTGCGCTTCTTCTTGCCCATCGAGGGGGCCTCGCGCTGCTTCCTCCGAGGCTGGCTGGGGTCGTAGTCGGCGTCCATCTGCCGGGACACGCGGGTCAGGCCGGCCCTGGGGGCCCCCAGGATCGTCCACAGTGCCCCGCGTACCCGTGGCACCTACATTGAAGTCGGGGTCCTCGCAGTGCAGCTCTTCCTGGCTCCACGCCGTACCCTGCTCAGGCCCGGCCCACGTGTCCCAGTTCCAGTCGTCTGCTCCCAGAGGATGGATAGACAGAGGTCAGGCGGGGTCAGGCCTGGGGTCAGGCGGGGACCACAGGCTTCAGGCCCAGCAGCCCCAAGGCCAAGGCCCCAGGGGACCTCACCTTCAAGCCCTTCCTCTTCCTCAAACTGTGGCTTCTCCTCCTCCATCGCGCCATAGTATTCGTCTCCGAAGCACTTCTGCAGGGGCGGGGCCGGGAGGGTCAGCAGGCCCACGACCCCCAGGGATCTGACCCCCGCATCGCACATGGCTCCCCAGTGCCCCCGGAGTCAGCTCCTGATGGCAGGAGGCCTGTGTGCCGGGACCCCTCCGCGCCTTCTTGGGCTGGTCTTGCCCCCCCGTCCTCTGTCCCCTGTCCCCCATTCAGTCCCACAGACCCAGTTCTCTCCCTCCTCCTGGCCTCGCCCCTGTGCTACCCCCGCTTGGCGCACTCCCTCCCTCTTTGACGGGCTGACAGCTACTCGGGCCTCAGGTCTTATCTGAGCTGCCTGTCCTAACTAGCTCACCACCGCGTGTGGTGACGCCGGTCAGGGGACTCCTCGAGGACCCCAGCGCCCCCTGCGCGTCCCCATCACTGCTCAGATCGCTGTGGGTTGGTTAAGTGCTTGCTGCTAGACCGGGTGCTCTGGGAGGGCAGGCTCTGCTATGCTGCTTGGAGCTGAGCATACAGCAGGTGCTCAATGAATGTCAGACCGGTTCTGGCCACTCTGTGAGCTCCAGGAGGGCTGAGACTGTGCTGGAACTCCAGCACCCAGGGGGCCTGGCAAAGGCAGATATTGCTAAGTGTGTCATGTATGAAGCACCTACTGTATGCCCAGTGCTCAGCTGCATCTCACTGCATTCTTGCAAGCACCCGAGAGACAGAAACTACCTCCGTTCCATTGAGAAACTGAAGCTCAGGACTAAGAAGCTTCTAGAAAGTGAAGGCTGAACTCCTACTACACAGCACCCGCTCACTCCCATTTACACCTGGCCTATCCACGCACCTGCAATCTCCTTCCTGACCTCCCAGGCTTGGTCAGAGGCCTCTTTGGGGCACCAGTGGTCCCTACTGCTTCTCCCACATAGCTCTCATGGCCTGTTTCCACAGCCTGATGCTATGTTCCCACAATTACCACAATAAATATTAACGGCTCAATAACTGAGTTTAAAGGAAATACAGCAACCCACTGTTTCTGGAGCATTTACCAACTCAACTGTTATGTGCCTTCCTCTCAGGCTATCTTTACAACAGCCCTGAAGTAGCTGCTACGGTTGGACCCACCTTACAGACAGGGACACAGGCTCAGAGATGTCAAGTCACTTCTCTGAGGCCACACAGCCAAGTAATGACTGCTGATTCCAGAGCCACACTCGCCAGCACTTGGCCGCAAGCCTGCGCTGGGCCTCGGGGGCCATACCTGCATGAGCTGGTCGTGCCGGGCGGGGTCGAAGTCTTCCTCGAGGTCCTGCTCCTCAAAGCCCAGGGTCTCATTGCCCGTGACCTGCCGCAGCCTCTCCAGCTTGGCCAGAATCTCCTTCCTCTTCAGGTTCTTCAGCTGCTTGATTTCCTCTTGCTTCTTCGCTTTCTCCTGTGGGAGGCAGGCCATGGGGGAAGGGTTGTGGGCTCTCCCAGCAGGCCCAGGGGCCTCCCCTCCCACTGCCCCCACACTCACCTTCTTCTTTCTCTCCCTGGTCTCCTCCCTCCTCTCCTTCCTGCGCTGGTCCTTGCGGCGCACGGAGGACGCAATGCTCCGAGGGTAGGTCTTGACCTGTGGGCAGCAGGGAGCCCAGAAGGGCCACAGAGATGATTCCGGGCCCCCGTGGCCTGGGCCTGTGGGCCGGGTCGTCCCCAGCCTGGCCCTAGTCACGCACCAAGGCTGAGTCCGGCTCCTCGAAGCGGAAGTTGTACTTATGCTCGAAGTCCTCCTGCTTCTTCAGAAACAGCTCCCCCTCGTCTGAGGAGTCGTCCACGGCCAGCTGGACCGGGGGGCCGGGGATCCTGAGGGACAAGACGGCACAAGACTGGGGTCAGCTGAGCTCCTGCACCCCTGCATACCAGCCATGCTAACTCATTTAACCCTCAAGGGAACCCTACGGTCAGGGGCTGCCAATACCCCCATTTTACACATGGGGAAACTGAGGCACAGAAGCCTGGCGGTAGGGCCAGGATTTGAACTAGTGCCCCCTGGCTCCAGAGCCCACAGTCCGCGGCTCCTCCTCACCAGCAACTAACTCCACTTCCATCTGTGTGAAAGAGGACACACCCAGGCCTGTGCTCTCCAGCCAGCATTGGCTCCAGGCCCCTGGGGGACGTGGCAGCTCACCCTTCCTCCTCCTCCTCATCTTCCTCCACCTCCTCCTCATCTTCCTCTTCCTCGTAGCGTTTGTTGAGGATGTAATCCCGAAGGAACTGCTCCCCTTCATCCAGCTCTGGGTTGTTCCAATATTCCTTGAGGTGAGTCTGAGGGTGAGGGGGTGACAGGACCCAGGTCAGGGACTTGGGAGCAGGGAAGGAGAGGGGACATGGGCACCAAGCAGGTTTAAGTAACTGAAACTTCACAGCCAACCTATGAATTAGGTTAGTGGCATTATCGCCAGTTTTTCTTTTCTTTCTTTCTTTCTTTTTTTTTTGGCGAGGAAGATTGGCCCTGAGCTAACATCTGTTGCCAGTCTTCCTCCATTTTGTATGTGGGTCACCTCCACAGTATGGCTGATGAACAGTGTGTAGGTCTGCGCCCGGGATCCAAACCCACAAACCCCGGGCTGCTGAAGTGGAGCATGCAAACTTAACCACTATGCCATGGGGCCAGCCCCATCCCCATTTTATAGATGAAGAAACTGAGACCCAGAGAGGAACACACCCCGTCCTCAGCGTGTGTGCTCTTGGCCATGCCCTCAAAGGTGGTTTCTGGAAAAAGGTGGGATAGACGGGACAGGATTCTGTTCTTCAGCAACCGTGCACGGGAACTCACCAGTTCTTTCAAGGCGTCAGGGTTTGGAATCTCCTTCTGTCCCTTCAGCCATTCCACGTAGTCGGCATCCTCCTGGGCCTGGAGGAAGGCCAGTGCTGAGGGTCTGTGGGAGCCCTGGCCCCTGCCCGGTCCAGCTGGGCCCCAGCACCCACCTTCTCCTCCCTGGTTTTAGCGCGCTTCTGCAGCAACCCGGAGCCGCCTTCCCCAGCGCTGTCCTCATCCTCACTGTCCTCCACGAACGCCCGGAAGCTGCCCGCCAAGAGAACAAGCGTCAGGACGGACAGGCTGCCTGCTGGCCTAACGGTAACCCCGTTTATGAAGCCCTGAGCGCTCCCCGACAAGCTTGGAGTGGTGCTGGGACACAGAGGCTCCACTTAACAGATGAGGAAACTGAGGCCCAGAGAGAGCAAGTGACATGTCCAAGGGCACACAGCCATTAAGTGCCAGAGCTCAATCTGAACCTAGGAGCCTCAGCTCCTCTCCACGCGGCCGCTCGGCTGGCCGTGCTCACCTCTCCTTGAGCTGCTTCTGCTCGTCCACGTAACTCTTTGACGTGACCTGCAGCGGACAGTGAGGCCGGCCTCAGGCTCAGCCCGGGGCCCCTCCGGCCCCACCCAGCCTCCACCGCACCCACCTGGGGTCTCTGATGGGAGGGCTCCCCGTCGGAATTCTCCTCATCGACGTATTTGCTGGGCAAGGAAGGATGGGGGCTTCAGAACAGACTCCCCAGGGCCCGTCTGTCCCCATGGTGGGGGGGCTGTGACGAGCGGCAGCTGGGTACGTGGTGTCCTCCATTTTGGTGACTCACCGGCTCCCTCCCACCTCTGCCCCTAAGACCTCCAGGTGGCCACCCCAGGGGATGCGAAGGGCGCCGTCTGTCCCTCGGGACTGGGGACAGGGATTGGGTGCTCCCAGAGGGTGTGAGGATTTGGGGGTTAGCCGTCCTCCCCTCTCCCAGTCTAACACCATCTGCCTGTCCACCCGCCGGGGACGGCTGGGGGGGCCCGGCTCTCCTCACCCCTCCTTCTCCAGGATAACTTTCCTCTCGTAGTCCTTCAGGTACATGGGCCGTGTCTTCTTTTGCTTCTGCTCGGCGGCCGGCTCCTCCTCGCTCTCCGAGGACGACGCTGTGGGGCCACCGGGAGACACCTGCCATCAGACACCACCCCCTGCATTCCCCAGGCCGAGAATCCCACTGGGCTGGGCCAGATCGAGGTTTCAAAGCCCCAAGCCACCAGTCCCGGCTGTGTAGCAGGTATCCCCCAGGCGGTGACAATTCGGTGAGTAATTCACACTCGGAACAGCCAATATTAACAACAGGTGATAGTCTAAGACACTCTGCTAAGCACTTCTGCTGTGTGACGATCCAGTAAATAGTGACTACAGCCCAGAGAGCGAGGAGGAACTTGGGCCTCAGACAGGAGCAGCCCCAGACCTGTTCTCTGATAGAAGGTGGCATCTTTCTGATAAATGCGGGGGTCCTTCTTCTTCAACAAGGAGAGAGTCGTGTAGAAGTCACGCTCCTGCTGGGGGTCAAACTCCTAGGGCAGGAAGAGGGATGGAGAGGCTTCAGAAGGGAGGCGGAGAGAGCCCTGGTCGGGGCTGTGATGGGGGTGGTAAAGCAACCAGGGCAGGTGGGCTGAGGGCTGGGAAGTGGGGCGGGGGTAGGGGCTCCCTTAGGAGGAAGGAGGGGGGATCCCGCCGGGGAAAGACAGCTGGAGCGCTGGGTGAGTCTGTGCCGCTCAACAGGTGGGGGAGAGAGAGGGACCCTCTCGGGGTGGGCAGGGGCGGGACACACACAGATAAAGGATATGAGACAGAGGAAGGCAGCCGGCAAGGAGAGGGTACTTCCTGGGGACGACAAGAGGTTGACGTGGGGCAGAGAGGACACAGCGGGGCAGCAAGCAGGGGCTGGGCTGCACGGTGAGGCCAGGAAGCAGATCAAGGCTGATGTGGGCACAAGCTGGGTGCCCCATGTGGCACGGGGGACAGTCGGACACTGAGAAATGGTTTGACTTTGGGGATGAGCAAGGGGGACAGAGGGGTCGCACCTCACACGTCAGGACGGGCAGGTGGCGGGGAAGGGGAAGGAGGGGGAGAGTGCCCGCCCTCCCCACCATGGGAAGGCGCTGTCCGACCCTCTTGGGATTGGGGGTCGGGGGCTGGACGCTCCCTAGGCTGCAATGGGTTTGGGGGTCGGCCGGCTCCCGCGCGTCCGGGCCGGAGCGGGGAAGCTCACCACGCGCTCGTCGCTGGAGTCAGACTCGGAGCTGGAGTCGCCGCCGCTGTCCCGGTCCCCGTAGCGATCTTTCACTGTGGGCACAAGGAGAGCCCCCCCCAGCGGATCAGCCCAGGGGGCACTAGATCAGCCCCCACTACCCGAGAGCCCCGCGCATGCGCCCCGCACTCACGCCGCTGCAGCTCCTCGCGCTCCCGGTAGCGGCCGTACCGCGCCGCGAACGCCGCGTTCACCCGCAGCGGCGAGGACCCGCGCGGCTCCGGCATGGCGGCGGGCGGCCCACTGCGCACGCGCGCGGCGAGCTCCCTGGAGGGGGCGGGGTTGCCATGGGCCCCGCCCACCACGAGCTTTAAAGAGGGCGGGGGGCCTCGCGGGCCGCGCCTAGCCCCGCCCCCGGCCCTTCCGGGATCCCTGACGCCCAGTGCCCTCAGTCCCCGCCCACGGTCACACCTCTGCGGGGAAGGCTGCGGCCACCGCCCACCCCCACCCCACCCCTGGGGCTCCGGGCACCCAGCTGACATCTGGGGGCCCTTTCTCCATTCGCGGTTTCCTGCCTCCCTTCCGTTCCGACAGCGCAAACCGCTGCCCCACCCAGCTCACCCACCCCTGGCACCCTGGGAATTACCACTCTCTCCCCTCCCCCAGAGCATCGCCGACCCGCGACCCCCGGGCCCACACCACCGACATCCTGGACGCTCGACTCCCCACTGCAGACTCAAAAATCACAAGGCGCCGGCGCTGTGGTCAGGCACAAGTCTTAATTTAATGGGTAAAAACATTAAATTATCACACACAACAATTTTTTCCATAAAGCTTAATAAATAGAATCTTTTCTTTTTTTTAACGCTGTACAAGAGACTGGAAAACAAGCTTCCAACAAAATAGGAATGAACTCATACTACCCTTTTATTGATTTGGAATACCCCCCTCCCCCGATGCCCGAAAGCAGTGTGCACACTTGAGGTCTCTCTCTGGGTGCAGCCGGCCAAGGTCGCCAGGTTCCAGGAGCCCTGGAAGCGATGACCTCACTCGGGCTGGGCTTTTAAACGCTCTGCCCTTGGGCCTCGTCTGCGGCCCCAGCAGCCCGGGGCGTGGAGGAAACTGAACCGTTTACGTTGTTGCTGCCTGCAGGAGCCCTTCTCTGCTCGATACACCAAAAGGGGTGAGAAAAAGAAATGAGAAATGGCCCTCGAACACACACACTCCAGAAATCAACACCAACAAGCCACAAACTGGGGCCCCTCCCCTTCGGCAGTGGTCAGGAGGAGCTAGGGGAGAAAGTGTTTCTTTCCTCCTCTTCTGACATAGAACGCAGCTGGGTCCTGATGCCGGAGGAGAGGTTGGCCCCGGGTCACAGCGGTGCCACCGTGTGCCCCTGCAGTATGTCCATGAGATCCTGCGCCCCTCTTCCCCGAGCCAGCTCCAGGGGGGTGAGCCCCCTGGCATCCCTGTGATGGAGATCAGACTCAGCAGCCAGGAAGCTGACGACAGCGTTGTGGCCCTCCCGCACCGCCAGATGGATGGGGAGCGCGCCTGTGCCATCAGGTGCGTTGACATCAGCGCCATGTTCCACCAACACCCTCAGGGTGTCCAGGAATCCAGTGCGAGCCGCGTCATGAGCCGGAGTGGTGCCGGAGGCGTCCTGGATGTTGGGGTTGGCCCCTTGCTTCAGGAGCTCCAGGGCAATGGCGGAGCTCCCAAACATCATGACCTGTGCAGGGGCAGAGGGTCGGGTCCTCAAGGGAGGGGTTCCAGGAAAAGAGGTCCCTGGAGAGAGGGGTCATTCAGGGATAGGGAACGCCAAAGAAGAGAGGCTCTCGAGAATGAAGACGCCCCAGGGAACACAAGCCCCCGGGCGGCTGTTTGAGACCCCAGAGAACAAGGTCTCCTGGGAATAGGGACTCCAAGAAACTGGTCGCCCCCTAAGAATAGGACACCCGTCCTAGGGAATGGCCCCCTGGGAAACTTTCAAGGAATCTAAGACCCTCCCCAAGGAACCAGAGACCCCCCCCCCCAAGATATGGGAAATCACCAGGAAATAGGCCTTCTAGAGTGAGAAACTGTCCCCAAAGAACTTGACAGCCCCCTCAAGGGAAAGCAGATGCCCAGGGAATTTGAAAGTCCTTCTCCAAGGAATAGCCCCCTCCCACAAAATAGGATGCTCCCCAGGGTACCTGACCCCCTCAGGAAATGGGGGTCCCCTGTAAAGTGCCCCCTAGGGAATAGGAGCTCCCATGCAGTCTGTAACTGTTCCCCCATCAGGACCCCGCATAATATACCATGCATCTGAAAAAATTACACAAAAAAAAAAAAAAAAAAACCCACCAGGAATGGAGATTCTCCCCAGGAAACTGGATCCCTCTAAGAGAATCCTCCAGAAAATGAGGACGCCCTGGAGACAAATTCCTCCTTCCAGCGATCACATGCCCCCCTAGAAGCCCCAAGAAACCACAGCCACCCCAACGAAACTGAGACCCAAGGAAACCGAACCTTCAGCCACGGAATAAGAGCTTCTCCAGGGCAACTGAATTGTCCGCACTAAGAGAACAAGGAATCCTCCAGAAAAGATGGCAAGCCCTCCCCTCCCCCAACCTAAGCCCATCCACCATCACCTACGAAAGAAAGGGGACTTCAAGGAGCAACGTCAGCCCGGAGATGGGGCATCGGACCCCAGTCGGCCACCACTGAGGCCAGGACACGAGAGGGAAGGGGTCTGGGGCCCCCGTCTGCCCCGCTCCCCCACCCTGCCCTCGCCCGGGGCCGGCCGGGCCTCACCTGCAGCGCCGTCTTGCCGAAGCGGTTCAGGGCGTCGGGGTGCACCAGCTCCCGGTGCAGAAGGCGGCGCACCTCCTGCACGTCGCCTCGAGCCGCGGCCCCGCTCAGCCGGTCGCCGGCGCGGACCTCCTCCAGCAGCATGTCGGCCTGCGAAGCCCCCCGCCCCACCGCGGCGCGATCAGTGCGGGGAGCCGGCGGCGTGGCCCCAGCAGCCCTCCCGCCGCGCGCCCGGCCTGCGCGAGGCTCCCGGTCCGGCTCGCCCGTCGGGGGCTCCGGCGCGACCCCAGCCCTCGAGGCCGGCTCCTCCCACTGTCAGCCGGCGGGTCGCGAGGGGCTGGCAGCCCGGCCCAGCCCTCCGCCGCCCGCAGGGCCCGGCCCGGCGCCCGCCCCTTGGGGGCCGGGCATCGCCCCCACTCACCCTCCCTCCTCCGCGACGGGCGGGGTCTGTTCTGAGCCGGCGCCGCCGCCGCCGCCGCCTAGCCGGCCGCCAGGGGGCGGAACAAGCGCGCCGAGGCCCCGCCCCCGGGCGCCGCCGATTTGTTTTCTTACGAACTCACTACATTGTAGCCCAGCCGCGTTGCCCGGGGCGCGACCCTGCGGCGCCCCGCCCCCTGGGCCGGCGCAGCCAATGGCGACGCGTCGCCGGGGAGGTTTAGGGTGGTGGCATGGGCTGTGCCTCTCCTGATTGGCCGAGGCGCCGCGACCGGTGACCCGCCGGCTATGGCGGGGTTTTCGGTTTTCAAACTGGCCCGGTGGGCGGGAAAGAGGGCCGGTTTAACTGACCGCGGGGAGAAAGATCCGGGCCCTCGGCACCTCCGGGGGGAAGGGAGGCAGGGCTGGGGCCGCCCAGGCCGGGGTGCTATCTGTGAGTCCCGCGATGGGCACTTATTCGCCGTTCCTAGGCGCAGACCGTTCACTTCATTCATTCACCCCCTGGGCGCAGGGGCCGTTCCGGGCGCCGGGGAACGCACGTTCCAGCGACTCAATGACTGTAGATAGCGTTAGGTCCCGCGGAGAAAATAAAAAGGGAAATTGGGGTGAGCGGAGGAGGAATCACGTGCTGGCTCAGATTGAGCCAGGCCTGGCACAGCAAGCGCAGGGCGAGGGAGGCCCAGGCTGGGGCTGCCACGTGGGCGAGCCCGGGAGGCGAGCGTCGCCGTCGGAGGCGGCTTTGGCACAGGCTTTCATTCAAGCATCTATGGAGCGCCTCCTGTGTACTAGGCGCCCAATTGGAGAGCGAGCGGCGGGGGTTGCTTGTGCTGCGGGATGCCTACCGTTTAGGGCGGGAGAGACAATCATTAAATCTTTTCAGAGTGGTAAACGCTCTGGTGCTGATAAAAGAGAATAAGTGGTAGTCTCTTGGGAAAGATAGGCGGTTGAAACAGAGAGGTCAGGGAGGGCCTCCCGGAGGAGCCGACGTTTGATTAGAGGCCTGAAGGGGAGGGATATCTGGATATCTGGGGAAAAGCGTGCCAGGTACAAGGCACTACACATGCAAAGGCCCTGAGGTGGGCGCGTGCCTGGCGTGTCCAGGAAGAGCGAGGGGGAGGGAGGGAGGAGGTGAGGGCAGGTGGGGGCGGGGAGGAGTGTAGATCAGGCTTGTGGGCTGCGGTAAGGACTTGACTTTTACTTTTAACAAGATGGGAGCCGTGGCAGGGTTCCGAGCGGAGGAGCCGGGATCGGACGCAGAAGTTCACAGGCGCCCTCTGGCAGCCATGAGGGGAACTGAAGGGAAGGGAAGGCGGGCCTGGGGACCGAGGTGCAGGCGACTTCGCTGGCCCAGAGGAGCGATGCCCAGGGCTGAGGAATGGCGATGTGTTGCCCACTCCCATCCCAGCACTTCAGGGACGTCCCTGGCATCCCCAGTCCCCAGCCGAGAAGCACACACACAGCGCCTAGATTCATCTCTTTAATGGCGTCCTAAAACAGAGGAGTGGGCGAGGGGGGCCTCTGGGCTCAGCAGCTGTGGAGGAGGGGCCCCCGTCACCCCCTAAGGCAGATCACCGCGAGAAGGCACTCATGAGGGGGGCTTCAAGTCCCTTTTCTATTTCTTCATATAAAATGGGAGGAGGGGGGAAGCCCGGAGACCGGACAGGGGACGACGACGGGAGGCAGGGGGGACGGGATGGGGCCCATCCCTCCCAGCCTATGGGTAGAGGAAAAGGCCGACAGGTGGTGGGAGCTGGGAGCCAGAAACTGCCAAGGCAGGGGTCTGCCCTCACGCACGCCCACCCACCCATCTTCCCTCCCTGTCTAAAGTCCGCAGGTGGGGCCTGGGGAGAGGGAGGCGCATGCTTGGGCCCTTCTAGCTGGTACGAAGCTGATAATCTGCGGGGAAACAGTGAGCAGGGACCATGTCAGAACTGTGGACAGGGGACAGCGGGACAGCCCCCCATCCCTCCCGGGCCCCCGTGCTCATGATCAACCCCCCGAGGATGTAACAAGGATGGGGTCAAGCAGAGTGACAGGGACCATAGCAACAAGCCTGTTTCGGGGCAGCAGATGGGGGTTCTCTGTGTTGGCCGTGGTCCAAACCCCACCGCCACCCCCCATTTTAAAGATGGGCAAACCGAGGCCCAGAATGGCATGGTGACAAAGACGAGGTAGGTCTGGGGCCAGGCCGGGTGAGTTTTGGAGCCCTCCAAGCTCGACTGTGTCAAAACCCCGAGATGGCCCCCTTCCTCTCCTGGACCGCGTGGTGCTGGGAGCCGGGCGCTTACCGCCACTCTGGGTGATATAACGGACCCAGGGCAGGGCCTGGTAGCCGCTTTTCTCGATGATCTTCATGTATCGGACCTGGCAGGGAATGAAAGGAGGTGGCCAGGCCCGGGGGAGAGCTGGCGGGGGCCAAAAGGATCCATGTGCCACGTTGGGAGGCGAAGGTGGCACAGGCTGGGAGTAACAAGGTGACATGGCTTGGGACAAAGATGTGGCATGGCAGTGGGTGTGGGGAGGAAGGGGGTCCAGTGGGAAAGAGATGGCACAGGATACGGGGACAGACACAGCGTGGTTTTGGGCGGACGAGGTGGCACAGGCCAAGGGAATGGTGAATGGCTTGCGAATGAGGAAGGGACGGAAGTGAACAAGCTAGTGGGGACGAGGTGGCACAGGCCACAGTGAGAGGTGGGGGGAGAGGGGACCCAGGCTGAGAGCAGAAGAGGCAACACTGTGTGGGGCAGGACAGTGGAGGACCCAGGCCAGGGAACGGAGGGGCCCCGAGCCAAGAGCTGGGAGAGAGGGGAACCCACTGAGGTCCAGGAGAGGATCCCCCCGCCCGCTTCCCTCACCTGGATCCCAGAGACGGTGAAATAGGGGATCTCAAACTTGACCCCGATGGGGGGCCGGCCCTCCTCCTCCTCCTTCTCCACGCTGGGGAGGCCGAAGTGCGCACGCATCAGGTACTCCTTGCCGCCCTGTGGGCAGGCGGGCGTCAGACACCCCGAGGGGCCCCCATCTGCCCCGGACCATCAGCCCCGGGAATGGGCTCTACTCTCAGCCCATTTCACAGACGAGAATGAAAGGCTCCTGGCCGAGACTCTCAGCCGAAGCTTCTGGCTGCAAAGTCTGGTTGGGGTGGGGGGGCCTTCTAGTGACCGTCTCCCATTTGTCAAGCCCGGGTGAACTACCCCCCCACCCCATCCCAGGGGCCAATCAAATCCTCCAGCAGCCTGAGGATGCAGGTAGCATGAGCCTGCCTATTTCACAGATGGGCAAACTGAGGCTCCAGGAGGGGAAGTGGGTTTCCCAGGGCCATCTGGCTCAAAGACGAAAGGGAATTTGACCCCAGGGCTGGTTTCCTTGAGACCTGCAAGGAGGAGAGCTTAACTACCAGGCTGACTGGTTGCCAGGTTTTTGGTGGTTTTTTTGTGTTTTTCTTTTTGGCGAGGAAGATTGGCCCTGAGCTAACATCTCTTGTCAATCTTCCTTTTTTTTTTCCTCCCCAAAGCCCCAGTACATAGTTGTATATTCTAGTTGTAGGTCATTCTAGTTCTTCTATGCAGGACACCACCACAGCATGGCTCAATGAGCGGTGTCTAGGTCCACGCCCAGCTTCTGAACCAGTGAACTCCAGGCCACTGAAGCAGAGCGCATGAACTTAACCACTGTGCCACAGGGCCAGCCCCTGGTTTCCAGCTTTATTACCCCCACAGATAGCCATGTGCATGCAGGTGTGGGTCTCCCATTTACCCTCAGCCTTGCCCTCAAGCAGCGCGGGCGGTCCGCCAGATGCCCCCCGCCCCCGGTGCTCACCGGGAAAGACTTAATACTCCAAATCACGACGTTCTTCTCGGGCACGTACTTGGCGCTGCCCACGCTGGTCTTGAAGCGTGGCGAGTCAGCATCGCTGGGCACTGGCACAGAAATCTCCACGCCGTTGGCCACTGACTGCTTCTTAAACTGCCCCTTGGCCTGTCGGGGGGGAGAGTGTGGGGCCTGAAGAACTCGCTTGTGCATTCTGCAAACATCCACCCAGCCCCTTCCATGCGCCATCTCGAGAGCCCTACGACCGTGAAGAGGGGGCCACTATCCTGCCCATTTTACAGATCAGGAAACAGAGGCACAGAGACAAAGGGCACTTTGCCAAAGCCACACAGCAGGGAACAGGCCCAGCAGATTGGAACCGAGCCTGCGTTTTCAACCATCACCCACCCTCCCTACAAATAAATGCATAAGTTACGGCATTCGGGCTGTGTCTGGAGCTGTGTGACACAGGACAAGCTTTTAACACAAGGGTTCTAAGCGTCCCATGGGTGGTAGTTGGCACTATGATTACTGCTATTATTTATTAATTTGGGGAAGGAAGTTTGAGAGGTGGGATGGGGCAGAGGACCTCCAGGCGTTCTTTCTGGAAGGCCCCCCACTTTAACGGCCCCTCCCCCTTTCTCTGCCTGCAGAGACGGGGACATTGAGGAGTGTCGAGACCCTTGCTGGTGACCATCCGCCCCACAACCCAGCTCCCCTGAGACCCCAAGACTGGGGACAGTCAGATGGATGAGCACAGACTCTTGAGCCAGGCAGAGCCGAGTTCAGCCTGCCGCCCTTCCTTCCGAGATGAGTGACATCTTAATCCTTTGGGACCTCAGTTTCCCCATCAGTAAAAAAGAGCTGACTGTAAGCCCTGGAGAGAGAAACTCTTGCTTGGGGCACCGAGGAACCCGCACAGGGCTGCGGACCGGGCGGCCAGGAACCGCAAACAACCAGATGGACAGATGTAGAAGGTTCCTGTGATAGAAGATTCTGCAGCCGCGGAAATGGATGCAGTAAGTTACAACGCCTGGGATTCAGTCTAAAATCAACGTGACGTGAATAAAGGGAGTCATACAGCCCGAGTCCACCGACATGAAGGTTG